AGCCTGTTTTCTGGTTCCCACCGATACTCATAGATCGGTAGCTGCCGAGTATTTGTCGACATTAGTTTGGTGACGAACAGGAAACTGGGGATACTGGCCGTTAATAACTCCGCTGTAAAAATGTTCATCTGGGATGAGACGGTGTTGTGTGAAGCACAACATCGTCTCATACCACATTCACTGGAAATGTGCTTCCGTCATGACCATTCTTGCAATGAGGGAGCGCGCGGGCCGCTACTATCGTTGTGCTCGTCAACCCGATCTCGAGTTCGTTTTATTTTAACGTATTTATGTGCTCTCACAAGATCCGGTAACCGTTTTTTGACATCATTTCTTTTTTTCAGAAGAACGCGAGCACCGCACACACGGTCGTGCAAACTGTCGCAGGATACAGATTTCTTTTAAAGTCGGCTTTGATTGATATCGTTATGTCAGAGTTGTAGGGGACAATGAGCCGCACGGCACGTGGAGAGACGGCGCCGCTAGCGGGGAGGAAGAGAACGAGGAACGAAGGGCGAGGCTCGTGACAGAGAGAGGACAGGGGAACGTCGAAGGCGGGAGATTAAGGAAAGAGCCGGTGCCCAGCAACACTTCCAGCAAGAGCCCCGGACCACACAACACCCTTGCCCTCCTCATCAGACTCACATTTGAGTATTATTAAACCTTTCCTAATGGTAGCGCTTCCCCGTAAGACTTCCCTGAAGCGAATAGAACTCGGCCTGGATCGGGCGATAGTGACAGGCGACCTACAAAGTTTAGACCTACGATGCCGCATCTCAGCATACAGTTTGATTAAATAAGCTTGACACTACTAACATAAACAAAAAAGTTAATTTACCAGCACGTTGATGGAGAAGTATCCATTTCTGTTTCGAAAACACTTCCACATCAAAACCGACGGGTCCTCTTATCAATCGCCGCGACGCGTCCCCGAACTTCACCGAGCGGGGCAAGATGGTTCGTGCGATTGGCCGCAAAACTCGTTCCGCGACCCGGCACACTGTCGGCTGCAGCACGTTCACATGGTTCCCGTAACAACTGGGAACGTCCCGGCACTATAAAAGCTCAAAGCAACGAGGAGCTGCAGCATCAGTGAGGGCGGCAGGCCCCGAGCACTTGCACTCCTGGCAGACACAGCAGAGTGCTCTCAAGGGTCGAATTCGTGAAGCAGTATTGCAAAAGGAATTCGTGGTCACTGAAGTGTTCCAGCTGGTTCAGGCGTTCTATGAACCACCGTCTCGTCACATGTCTCGATTGGCTGTTGCCTCCGTCGTCGTAGGATATATTTTCTACGCTAAAAACGAAGTGCACGAACTCCGCGAACGACTCGTAGGTCGCCGTGACACTCCAAACTCAACTCAAGGTACGGCTCGAGGAAACGCCGGACCTACCTTGAGATTATCGAGGAATGAGCGAAGTATTTCCTCGAGTCGAGGAGCATTCGGCGTGGAGATAGGTTTATTAAGCGCAAAAACCGCCTCGAGTGGAGTTTCGAGTCGAGTTCAGGTCGAGTTCGAGCCGAGGCCCGTTTATAAATTCGGCGGGTAGTCGGCCCGGAAAAATTATTCTTAATATATATATGATTAAAAAAATGTAGAACGAATTTGAAATCAATAAAACCTCAAAATTTTGACCTTTAGGTTGTAGAGTCATGTTCCGGCAAAGTGCGCGACGAAACCACACATGCAGCTAAGTCTTTCTACTAAAGAGCAAAAAGGTGATGTTTCCGCCGGGATCGAACCGGAGACCTTGCGCGTGTGAGGCGCACGTGATTACCGCTGCACCACGGAAACCGGTGTCTTATACGGGCGCCTAAAGCCTGATTTTAAATGTTCTGTTTCCTCTGCTATGATGCGCACGTTGTATGTAGTGGCAAACAGAAAAGCTCAAAGTAGTAGAGTGGGAAGCAACTAACGTTATCTATCACTTGGAAAACTCGCCCTCTCTTGTCTACTAAATAACCGCTTAGTGCGATGGATTTTGTGATAATCCTTTTCGCGTCATCATGCATCATCGAAAGGCATAAAGCAATTATGCTTTTCGAGTTGAAAGGCGGCTTAAATCAGTTGCAATCACCAGGGCGGTTCCCGGGTGCTTCTTGGGACATGACTCTGTGTTAAGGCCCGACCACACTAGCGTGAACGGCGCCGCCGGGCGGCGCCGCCGGGCGGTACCGCCGTCCGGCGTCCCAACGCGAGGAGTCCACATTGGCCTCCGTTTTGCAGGCGTCACGTGACAGCACTGGTTCCCGCGATCGCGCCTCCCGTCGGATTTCCCGCTCTTTTGTCGTCTGCTCTTCGTTAGATTCTTCCGTTCCACACTCGCTGTCTAGACGGTAAGAGTTCATAATGACCTGGTGATCAGCGTGAATGTGATTATCCTAACCTGCTCGTTGATCTTGCGACGTCGCCGCGCTCTGAAGGGAAGGAGGCGCAGGTTTTGGGTCCGGCCGGGTTGGTTCTACCGAAACACCGAAGGACAGGAGAGGTCTGGCGCGCCGCCGGGGCTTTGCTGCCCCGGCGGCGCGCCAGAGACGAAGGCTACTTTCGAAAGTGTCACCAAATCAACACGACATCCGTCACAACAGAGACGACATGCAACAAGTGCCACGGAGAAACTCACTTGTAATTCCGAATTGGTTAGTTTCAAGGAACCGCTCCGTCGGGGAAGGCATCGGGGGAAATAGGGGGAGCAGACGACACGAAACACGTCCTTCGCTTCGAGAGGCGCCGAGGACCGGTTTGAGCGTTGCCATGGCATCGCGACGTCACTATCTACGCCACCTCCCATTGGCTCCTCTCTTCTGCGGCGTGCGGCGTCAAGCTCTGAACCGCGCACGGAGCGGTTGGGTGTGCGGCGCCGCACGTCGTGACGTTGAAGCCGAAAACTGGTTTCCGCCGGCAACCGGCAGCGACGACCGTCGCGCCGCAGGCCTCCGAAACGCCAATGTGGTCGCGCCTTTAGGGACACTATACGCTGTTTTGTTCTTGTATCGTATTTCTCCTCTCCCGCGGCTTCTTCTCTCCGCGCCGCCCGACGTCACGTAACCTAGTTCCCAAGACTGGGCTGGTTTATCCCCAAAGGGAAGTATCACCTGGGCAGGAGGGCGCTGCGAACAAGGGGAGCGATGTGATAACGAGGACGAGTGGACCTTGCTGCTGGCTCGGAGCGTCGGACCCACGAATTCGTCAGCACTGTGCCACCTCCGTGGGTGCTGGTGCTGTCTACCGTTGGCCGGGATCGCTGCAAGCCACCCAACCGCGGGGACGAGGAAGAAGGTCCTGGGAATTTGAAACCCGGACCATGGACCCGAGCCTCTACATACCATGACGTGAGTGAATTAACAGTTAGACGAGAGGTCGCCTACATTGTGAATTTATTCCGAGGCAATCGGTCGGAAACGTAGAAAACTGTCATATGCAACAGCAATTTATCGGTTCCGTATATTTAGTCGTGGCTGTACCTCACTCAAAGACAGCCAGCATGGCCTAAATTAAAGCCTAAAACAAACCTAATGACCATCTAAAACAAAAACAAACAAAAATGTTCAACGGGCTGGGTAACGAAATTTGAATCCTCGGTTTTTAATATCTGCATATTGCAATAAAGGTGTCATTAATAATTTCATACCAAACTACTAAGATCATAGTTAGCTATTTCTGTCCTACGTTGCTCCCCGTCACGGAAACGTTCCATATCCTTAATATCTATGTTTCTTTTTTTAAGTATTGCTCGATGAGTCCCGACTGGTTGATGTTATAGATTGAATTAGTTCTCCGTGGACCAAAGCCCTGAGGGAAACCTGTTTCTGTTAACCAAGGTTCAGCATCGAAAGGTTCTTAAAAAAACCTCCGGCAAATGTATTAAAAGACAGTCTGCAAATGAAATTTTTATAAGCAAATGAGGGTGTGAGGTACACTTGGACGGAGTTCATAATCCTTAACGCGAACATCTTCCCAGGCTGCGATGTGCTCAATGGGAGAAGTGTCCTGCGCGTGTTGCACTGAACAGGCTGGTTGTTCCACAGGGTTTATCCCAGGTCATTTTTTTCCCTTTGAAGTTCTGTCAAAAGTTTCCTTATACCCTGAGCACTTCAGATAGTTACAAAACTTCTTTTCAAGTATTTCTACCAAGAATACTGCCAACTCCAGCTACTATACAACATATTTGTTTCTTTGTTCATCTAAATTTTTATTTTCATTTAAGATATGTTGCTTACGAATCGCTGCGCACAAATTATAGAGAAATATTTTTCCTTGTATACTCAACCGGATATTTGTCATTTTCCCCGTATACCATTAACACCAAAAATAGTGCCTTGACTTCCCCTTCATCCTGCGGAAAAAATGTTTCCTCCTTCCGTGTTCATTTAAAGGCTAACATACCATGGTAAATTTCCCCAGAAACTGAGGATACCTAGGGAACCACAAAACCATACAGGCATATTTGAAATCGAACCTTAGTTATTTTTTGTTTATCTATCCACTGTCTGGTCTTCCATCCCTTTGCGTATTTAGAACTAACTTCCAGCGCCAGACTTTGTTGCTAACAGGAGCCATTTAATACATTAAACAACAATACTAATTCTATATATATATATGCTATTGCAGCTTACGTTAACAATTTGACTGCTGTCTCGAATGTGAACTCTGCAAGTAAGCGTAACGAAGCTGCCAATTGAAACTAGAAAAAAAAGATAACACTGAAAATGGGTTTTTATATATTATCTCACTCGCAATCTAGTTTGTCGCACAGTGAACTTTGAAGTAGTAAAATAAATTTAAAAAAAAAAACTTGGCGAGAGGATACGCAGTGTATAGTTCTCAGCGGCCTTGAGATGCCCCATGATCAAAGACAAAAAATAGTGGTTAAACGCGCTTACAAACGAGTTAGGTTTAAATTAACAGAAAACGAAGAATCCGCACGTCCCACAAGGAAAGCTGTCACCAATAAAAAGATTGGAGTTCCGATTTTCATCATCACACAGTGTGACAGGACAATTTGCTGTATTCACCGGCCCACTTCACGATGAAGGCTGTGGTAAGCTCTACATCATTCATTATCAAATGCGGCAAAGTGAATCAGTCCTTTGCTCCAACACTTTCTGCGTTAGTGTTATGTAAATCCTTTCGTATAAAACAAATACGTGCTCACTGACCAAGTGCAATTACGCGAACAAAAGTAGCGCAACACCAAAGCCCAGTATAAAAAAATATACACTAAAACAAGGTACTTGCTTCAAAAGGTTAACTTCAATTCATATTGTTTTTAATATAATTTAGACCACCATATCTGTCGTTGTATTCATGTTACTCCTATTAATCTTGTTTTGATGGTGATGATAGCTGCTATCCACGAAAATCAGAGTTATAATGCCTCAGGAATTTTATTCTAAATTACAAAACCCGCAGTGAAACTGGAGAAAATAGGTGAACGTTTGTTGAACGTGTGAGTTCTCACAAAATTATTTATTAACATGTTAAGTTATCACACTCCGCCATTTTCTGTCCTAACAAACTAATTCTATGGTTAAGCACTTACTGCGGTGATTTTGGTAGGGGCCAAATTGTCTAAGGCAAGATTATGGTAGTGCACATCTGACATGACCAGTAAAGTATACCGAATCCAAGTGCTGTATATATTCGAAATAATGTAGAATAGTGAGAACTAAAGAACCACCAAAGTCGACGGGGCAACGACGCGTAAAGCATATTCCTCGATCACTTCAGTGGTACGAAAAATGACATATTGCATTTGGTGTGTCCATATGTGTACTCTACAGCATTGTCTTAAGTTATCGCTTTGTTATTTTACCTTACAGCTTTCCCTGGCCTTGTTCTGCGTCGCCATTGCCCTGGCGTCTGCTGGCCTGCACCACGGCGGTCTCGGCCTTGGTCGCGGAGGCTTTGGCGGAGGATACGGTCTGGGTGGTGGTCACGGTGGCTTTGGATGCGGTGGCCTTGGACATGGCGGTCTTGGTGGCGGCTACGACCTGGGTGGCCTCGGAGGTGGTTTCGGACATGGATACGGTGGCAACTACGGAGGAAGCTACGGTGGAAGCTACGGCGGCTCCTACGGCGGTAACTACGGTAGACAGTACCGAGGACACGGCGGTGGATTTTACGGCTAACCTCTTTCTCAGAGCACTTCTGCACTCTACGCAGGTAGGGAGGGTTCTTTTCATAAACTATTCGTATGACACTCTCAATGAGTGACCTCTACACTAACTTTATCTAGTGTGAAATTGGGGAAGTTCTCTCGAAAATATAGATAAATTTCAAGCGCTTACCATGCTTGATTGAAAGATTACTCAATATAATGCCTCTATCTACGTTGAATTTTCTATTAATAAATTTAGTTGGACAAATAAGACCCTTTTCTATTAATAAATTTAGTTGGACAAATAAGACGCTTTTCTATTAATAAATTTAGTTGGACAAATAAGACCCAATCACCACACGTACGACTTTTAAGATGCTAGATTACATGTTGCTGACTAAGTGTTTCACTGAGTTGAAAGATACAAATCCTTGCTTTATCCTAGCCGTCTCTACAATTCTAGATATATTGCACAAAACGGCTAATAAATGCATGCATATTTTGCCTACCTCAGCGTTCATAAATGTAGAACAATTGAAAAATATTGTCATATCACTCGTTCAAAAGTAATTTGCATTTTGATATTTTAATGTTGACGTTGGTTTCTTTGTCATCGTAATGAATGAGACATGGATCTGCAAGGAAGGCAAGAAATCGGAAAAAAGGGTATGGCCTTGTCATGAATAAATCAGTGTGATAAATGTCTTCGACGCGGTTTTAATAATTGGGCCCTCTATATCGTGTCAAGAACGCATGAAAAAGTTGAACCGTCAGAGTCTGCAACAACACTTGACAGAAAAAAGTATAACAACATCTACGTCACTATGTCAACAAAACCAAAAATATTCCCATAAGTTTTTTTTTTTTAAGTTAAAGTGCATAAGCGATAGTTAAAATGCATAAGCGATAGTTATGCTTTTGCATAAGCTATCGCAGAACGGATTTTCCCGTGTGCTCGTAAATTGGTTCAAAAGCTATCTGACTGACCATCGTTGTGTCGTTCGAGTTTCAGACAGTTTTTCTAATACTTTTTTTCCACATCTGGAGTACTAAATTGGAGCCCAGGGCTCCAATTTAGGGCCAGTTTTGTATCTGATTTTTATCAATCACATTAAAACTTGCATAGCTAATTCAAATGCGTTGCTAGTTGCTGACGACATCAAACTTTTGAAAGTTAATAATTTATTGACCAAGATAGAAGAAAAATAAATAATACCGATGACGTTTGAACACAAACTTCACTAGTTATTGATATATTGTAAGACTGCAGTGGTTAAAACTAAAAACCAATAAACCCAAATACTTATTGTACAGCACAAGTCACCAAGGGGTGGTGTTATGTCCATATTAGCATAAGACACGGTTAAGGCATGGTTCCAATCACATCTACTAACCAAACGGCGAGGAAAGTTTTACTGTTCTATTAGATGTATCACACGCCCTAAAGCCTTTTAAAGAAAATTCCGTTCAGATTCAAGTAACCTTTCGTTTAAAGGGATACCACAACGAAATTTCGGCGCTCATTTTTTGGTCTATATCTGTTCAAAAAAGCAGCATCACATCGAACATACCAATATCTTGTTAAAAAAGTCACGAAAAGGAATTTTAAAACGAATTAAACGATTAGCAAAGAGCACCTGGTGGATGTCGCTAACGCCTCGCTTGTAATGCCCGTCTTGGAACCTTGACAGCTAGTAACGGAGGTTGTCTCGTCTCCGGCCACGACGAGAGAAGAAGGGCAGGAGGAACTCCCCTTTTCCCGAGAATGCCTTTTGTGTGTCGCAGAAGTCGCTATTGTCCCCCTACAAGATTACAGAAGATTAAGCCGTCCCTCAAAATTCATACAAAAGCAGCCGCTTCGGTGGCTGGAACGACTAGGCCATCCTCTCGATGTCAGCCTCGCGTAGCTTTGCTCGTCTTGAGACGACCTACGTCACGATTGCGTTGGATGTCACGTGGTCTCCGCTGGGCCTTCTCCGAGCGCTTGCCAGAGTGGGCCGTTTATAACGAAAAATACAGCCAACAGGCTCAAAATACAAACGTGTGATTGTCTTTTACGGATATTGTGGATCATATTCAAACTATTTTTGAACACGACGGGAATATTTCAAATTTCATTGAAGTATCCCTTTAAAACACAGACCAATAGTTCATTAACAGTTGAGTATTTACATCCGCATGATGACTCGGCTATAAATAACTTTCTAAGAAGTACAAGCCTCATTTGTTTGCATGATTATTCACATAGCTGTTCGTCCGGAAGGCATATTTCATACTAAAAGTTCAATTAAATATTAAAAAAAAACATTTACATAAGCACACAGCATATGCTGAAAGCCTAACTTAATGGCAAATGTGCTTCAGGTGTATTTTATTATGATTTCAGGACAGACATCAACCATGTTGGCACTGACATTCAAGGGTTAAATCAAGAAAATGTGAAATTCATAAAAAAAAATAAAAAAAATTATGTTTTCACACATGCAAATGTCCCTGCTTCGCTTGCACATCACATCTAATTTCTCAAGTCACATCGGGGTTATAATAGTTCATTAGGTGCTTCCACATATGATAGGTGTCTGAAATTATGAAAACAATTGGTAGCATCGAGACAGTGTTGGTGACAGTTCCTTCTGCTGATGCACTTGCTTGGTTATTAATTAATTAGAAACCTTCCTCTAAACCCGCGCATTTCAGCAAGTCTCCTTCGATAGATATTCAGATTGTACCACATTTTTGAACAATTGTTTTATCGCATGTTGTTTAAGCTTCCTCTGGAGATCAATGTACAATACAATGGTATCGTACTTTTTCTTACGTTATTATTTCAAAGTGCCAGTGCGTGAACTATCAAGAAAAACGTGATTACACACGAAGTTGAATATAATAAAAAGCGTATTTTGCTACAATTAGCAATGTTTCTTTTATAAACCTAGCTTCTGTAGCCATCTCTTCGAAGGTCTCCACCCGCTTTTCAGCAATTTCAGAAATTCCCCAAAAATGTGTCTTCATGGCCCGATGGCCTCCACTGAATTTGTCGCTTTTCAAGTTTAAATGACTATGCCGGACAGGAATAAGGATCTTGCCATCTGACAGAACTATCTTGTCGTGTAACTTATTCAACCTCCCAACGTCAACATTACTCATGTTTTCTTGGTGTTTTTTGACGCGAACATTTCGCGTCAAAATCGCTTATGCCGTTAAATTTACTGGAGAAATTAAAATTGTGTATACGTCATAATATGTTAAATTTATAGCTAAATTTAGCGGGGAAACTGACATTGGGCATAGGTCACTTGATGTCAGTTTTCCCACGAATTTTAGCTGGTACTGAATTGTTGTGTATGTCACGTGACGCCGGGTCACGTGTTGCGAATTTCCCGCTAAATTTCCGGTGGGAACTGAATTGGTGTATGGGTCACATGACTTTAGGCCAATTCATGTAAACTTCTCGCCTAACTTTAAGCGGCAACTGCACGAAGGTTTAGACGGAGGGACAAATTTGAAAACCGTTAGCATTAGAGGCTTCATTAAAAAGTATGTAAAACAACTATATTTATTAATATGAACGAGTATCATCTTTGGAATAACAAGATGGGATTATTCTTTTCCTTGTCTTAAAGACTATAGTTTCTGGTTTTGTTAAAACCGACACACCAGTTGTTTCTCCGAACACTTGGAAACATCCCTAGAAATATGCGTCTGAGGAAAAAGAACTCTCTTCTCTATCAAATTCCCAACCACGGCGGACGTCAAAGAATGCAAAAGAAAACATATTTATGCACAAAGTAATTACGAAGTAATTTTGTAACACCTTCTTAATTAGTGAAAATCAAAATACGGCGCCAATTTGAAACCTGCTGAATCGTCATCGAAAACACACTGAGTCAGTCAATTTTAGGACAATTGGGGAAGCGCGCGGAGGCGCTGCGCTAGAGTTATCGCAAGTGCAGCATGCGCGAGGTAGGCTATACAAAAACGCCAATGACAAGAATGTCTACCGCGTTTTCGCAAATTTGCGTCGCCAACATTGCGCCTGCGCGCTTTACAAAAGTCATTTAATTTTTTTGTATCATTTAAGCCTGGTTTGAGCTAGTTTGTTCAAGGTGATTTAAAAGGCCTTGCTGTTTCTTGTGTGTTTTTTTCTTCGTCCTTGTTCTGTATTACGCTTTTCACTTTTTAAATCTATTTCTCAGCCCTTAGCGCTTACTCGATTAATTACCTCACACGCCCGCAGTGTACTCAGAAAATATCAATAAGAAATTTGTTCGATAAAAGGCTTTAGAAAACTTAGCTTCGACGTGCCAAAATACAGAATTTCTAAAACTAAGCATGCATTATTATATCTTCATTACGCATTCTTACTGAAAGCATTCTCTTGAGGCATACGTGATTCAAAGAACTAATAATTTTACAACGTGAATCTCTACATTTATTTTGATCTCTCTTCTTTTTTTTTGAGAACAAGATGTAAAGCAACATTCCGGATGTGTATTAATCCTTACTCAGCCAATCCCTATACATTTGCCGTGCAGCGTACGTGCGCGATAAAAAAAAAGAAAGTATTACTTTTGTTTCCGATAGAATAAAATGAGGCCCTTTTCTTTGAAATCATAACTTCCAAATTTGGGATTGCCCAAAGACCTCTACTGTTTAACACCATGAAGGCTGTGGTAAGCTAAACCCGACGTTGTCAATTTTAAAGAATCAAAATATTAGTATATTTTGATTACACTCACTAATGTATGCTGATAACATGGTACGAATCACCCAGCCACAATCATACTCAGGGATTAATTAGAACTACAGTTTTGGTGTATTTTTTCATCAATCACTATAGCAGCGTCAAAAATGCATCTACCATCTTTGCTCTCGTCGGTTTTCCGCGGTAGAAGCTATTGGCGGATGAACCAATCACGCACAGTGAATGCACCATGATCCTGCGTGTTCTTTCTGATTGGTTCAGCCGATGATGGCAAACGCCTAAAGGCGACGAGCGCCACGAAAGTGCAATTTCGGCGCAACCTGATT